ATATTTTCTCAGGGTTTTTAAATTTTTTCTATCTACACGATTTCTTATGTGAATTTTCAAGATATTGTTAGAAAATCAAGTGAAATACTTCTTTCTTTCTTCTTAAGCTATTTCTAGGTCATAATATATTCGATACACACTCTTAAATAATAATTCATTAAGGTAATTTTTTTAAATTTCTTTGACTTTTTAAATATTATTCGTCAACTTATTTTCTAATAAAATTTTTGAGTAAGAGATCATATTAACAAAATAAGAAAATGAATAACTTAGAAGCTTATATAAGCTTCTAAGTTATTCATTTTCTTATTTTGTTAATATGATGTTTTAGAAATCAATAGCAAAAAATCATATTTTTTCTTGAGCACTTTGGAATCCCAAAAGTGCTTTGTGTGGTCATAACAAAAACTAATTTGAATATTAATTTATTAAAAAATTAAGAAACATAATTTACAACTAATTGTTTGAACAAAATAATTACCAGCACTTTGTGTCCTTATATATAAGTCATGATTAAACCTCCATTCTGTGTCCATGAATTCTCCTCAGCATTTCTCTTTTCTGTTCCTAGAATTTTGCTCAGTTTGAGAATCTATATTCAATTTTGACTTAGATTAAGACATTTAATTTTAATTTAATTTAATTTAAACTAGGTATTGTATTTCATTTCAAGCATAATATTTTTCTCGATATTAAGTTTCATAATCTGTGATGAATAATCTTTTGATAAAATAATCTCTTTGACCGAATCCCTTGTTCATTTTTTGGGTAGGAAAATAAACGATTCGTTCTTAATTTTTAGTCAGAAAAATAAGCTATTAATCTAGCCACATACATAATTTTCGACGAAATTCATATCTGTCTCAAATTTTGTTTATCATTTTTGGGCAGAAAAATTCTCGAAATTTACTTACATATACATGAATGATAAGCTTTTTGATCTAGGTCTTAACAAATTATTTATAAGTGGTAAATTCTTTTGAAGAAACTAAATGGCAAAATCTACTTTTCAAAGTAAGAGATAGTGAGAATACTTGGAAGTTGAGTAGAGAAGAAGTAAAATGGTGCACTAACAATCAATCATTACAACAAATTTTTTTCCTTGAAATATTTGTTCATGTAAATGTCAAAGCCTTTGACTTATGAGTCTTGCCCTAGTGTTGGACTTAAATTCTGTTGTGCAAAATCATCCAAGATCCTAAGGTAATCATTGTTTTTAAAAAACAATTATGGTACTAATAAACAAACAAACAAAACCCAATGACTTCATCAATATTAACTTCAATATTATTTATCTCCATCTATACATTCATACCAAGACACGAGCTTAATTTTATTTTGTTAATTATATGTAATTTACTTTTAGTTATTTGTTTCGTCAAGTTCATTTTACGAATAGTTCGATACACTATTTTCTTTAAGTTATATTGGTAAAATACTGCAAAAGAAGAAAAATTCATAATCTAACTCGATTGTCTCCACCCTATAGGAACTACAAGATCATTCCAAAATACGTTTTTGGTATCTAGGAGTTATGACCGATCATATAATCTTGTTCAATAAGTGAAATGTATTAGTTGTTCGCTCTTAGGATGAACATAAATTATTAAAGAATGACAATCACTTATTTTTAAAATCTATATTTGAATGAATCATGTCAAAAAAAAGCAAAAAAAAAAAAAAAAAAACACTCCCTCCTTAATCTCTTGTAATTTGATTATCCATAACTACAAGACTCCTTAATTAGAACGTAACATAACAAATTAATGATATTTTTTGTCTTTTGAGTTATTCTTATCATATAAATTCTATTTGTTTAAATCTTTATTTTAAATATGTGATAATTTATGTATATAATATTTTAAAGAATGAGATATAGGATTTTGTATGTTTATTTATTAAGGCTTATGAATATTAACAAGTACTCTTTTTTTTATGATTAAAATTTCTCTATACTTTATTTAATAGCTAAAAATGTGAAGAAAGGATCTCTCATATGCATGATAATAGTATATATATATATATATATATATATATGTTCACTAATTTAAACACTAAATTAACATATATCTTACACAAGTATCATAATTTTTAAAAATAAAATCATGAAAAGTAATAATGAATTAAGCTTAAGTTGAGAAGAGTTGGACTTTATGAAATATCCTTTTTCTTTATTATAGTTACTGAATAAACCTTCAACTTTTATATGTGATATTTTGTACTAATGTCAACAATCTATATATATATATATTATATATATAGAGAGAGAAATAAAAAAGACAAAAAGAAAAAGGAAAAGATGTCATTCTAATTGATCTAAGCTTGATGTGGACATTATTAGAATCTTGAATTGTGGTGTGCCCATTAGGTTCCACAAAGAATGAAACTCTATGGGAATATAAAATTGTAGGCAAAAAGAAGCCAAGGAGTAAAGATGGGGTTAATGGCTCTTCAATTTTCTTTTCAAACCAAACAATATATATATATATATATATATTTCTTTGTTCTTCTGAATTTAAATCATCAATCTCCAAGTAAAGCTCTTAGCATCTCCACCAACCAAAAAAAGAAACCTAATGCCTAGGAGGAGCTAAGGGCTGAAGTGTTCAAATTTCTTCAAGAACTAAACACCTTGATGGTGATATTGCATAGAAAACTATTATAAAACAACAATAAAAAAAAAGGGTTTGACAAGGATCCAACTCAATAAATGATTGGGAATTTAGATGATTCTCAACTTTAAAACTCTTACATATATATATATATATATATATATATATATATATATATACTTCCATATATAAGAGTGGAATATCCACTACTGAAAGAAAGAAATTAAAAAAAAAAAAAAAAGTTACTGAAATAAGCGGTATAATTTTGACTTATATTAAAAAAAATTACACTTTTGACCAATACACAACGTTGAAAGTAGTACCAATTTACTTCCTAAACTGTAAAACCACATCATTATCAAAAATAAAAAAATTTTTACCAGAAATAACAAAATATCTTCCAATCACTGATGAAGTTTGGGAAATACAGTTACTTAATTTAGAACTAAGAATTGGAAAAGAAATTCCACAGAATATTAATGCAAGCCTCTTTCTCTAACACATGCACGACTCAAACAAGACAAATTAAAATTTTATTAAATTTATTGAGACTGGTTTTTTAATCATTGTAAAATATTCTTTTTCTATTAAAATCTTAGATGTGTTGGAAACAAAAAATTAGAAGTTGCTGCTAAACCTAATTGCAAATATAGTTTAGACACTAAAATAATAATTTGTTACGAAACATTTGTGTGCATCTAATTATATATCTACTGTCCCCCATCACCTCCCCTCCGGATCACACGGGCCAGTTCAGGTCACAAGAAGACCATGTGGCTTGGTTGCAAAACCAGAAGATCATTGACGTAAATTGAACATTTCAAAAATAAAATATTTTCCTTTTTATAAGTATATTATTTATATATACACAAACACCAGAAATCTTTAGTTTTAAACGAAGAAGAGATGATCACATGCAACTTTTTTGTGAAAGTTCAAGATTAACAAATCAAAAATGATTGTTGTCAAAACAGAAAAGACAAAATTTTTATCTGTTCAGAAGTCAACCTTCCTCATTTTAAAGAAACCCAAATACAATAACAGCTGCCCAACTACTAAAAACTATCAAAACAGCCGGATACCCTCAGACACTGTCCACTAACGCATATTATTTCCACAAAATGATGGCAACAGAAAATAATTATAATAATAATAATGACAAATTCCAACAATGACTTTGGTACCACAAATATAATTTCTATAAAAAAAAAAAAAAAAAAAAAAAAAAGAGTTGAAGGGACATGTTACCAGCGTGAAGCTGTGAAGCAAGAAAAAAATGCTAAAAGCTGTTCTTCCAATATTCTAATAGACCCTTAGGTTGGTCCAATCCAATTTTCAAAAGCCATAATCTAAGGAAAATGATCGTTTCATTGAGTGGTAATGTGATGGCAAGGAAGTCAAACATCTTTCATCTTTCTTTTAAATTACTGGCCACTAAACTAAACCACTTAGAAGCGTATGCAATAAGAATTTGGCTTGGGAAAGAATCCTTCGTGCTGATATATGCATAAATGCATCTCTCTATATATATTGTGTGTTTGAGAGAGAGAGAGAGAGAGAGAAAAAGAGAGATTTTAAAATTATTTGAGTAATCGCATTAGCTAAGAGCATCTTAGAAAGACATACCGCTGAGAAGGCGCTCCCCCATGCAAATTTGTCCCTCCTTTTCCATTTCCTCAATGATCTTCACTTCTTGTGGTGCAGATACCCAACGCATCAGAACGTCTTCGTCGCCTTAGCATATCATAATCATAGCCCCTAAAGACACTAACTTTTTCAAAATGAAACACAGACAAAGAAAAAAAAAAAAAAAAAAAAAGCCAAAAATAAATCAATCAAGTCATTATGTGATTTGAATAAAGTCAAAGAACAGATGCTTTAAAATTTAGCACAACTGCGCAAGCTTACCCACATACAGAACACCAGCTGTCATGCTCTATCAGTGCTTTCTTTTCCATTTGGTCAGCCCAGCATTTATATAGACAGAAGGGATTAAGGGTGGTGCTAGAATTATTACTGTTGCCACATAGTCTTCGAGGCACATTTGCACCATATTGTGAAAAAGAAAAGACTCAATACCAGAGAGACAGTTTTATATATAATATGCACACCACCCCCCTACATGCCCCACATCCACACATCATTTCCTCTTCCCATCAAGGGCAGCTCCCTCCCTTTTCCACCCGGTGCATAGGTTTTCGTTATGAACTTACTGGCTACGATTTAACTGAAAATACATTTTTGAATTTAGGCAGCTTCCAACTCTACCAATTCCCCCTGAAATTCAACACGCTAAACCATACAGATACAAAACCTAGAACCAGAAGATTCCAAGTAAATGCAAGGAAGTCCAAACACAGGACACGCAAAGATAAATCCAAACACAAAAAAACAACAGGAACATATGTTCAAAGTTAATTTACACAGATTAGGCCATAGGTGCCAGTTCCTTTTGAGCACCAGGATTGTAATTCCCATGCCAAGAATGGCATTCCAACGCAACAACTATGATAAGAAAAGTTTTGAGGGATGAGTACACCAATCTCCGCAATCCACTTGTTAAAAGAATTCAAGAAATTACAGGTTATCTCAATATGTTGATTTACTTATGATAAAGTGCGCCTATTAAATGATTCCATTGTTAAGTTCGCAGTAAATGCAGGAATTGAATTTAACTTCCGAATGAAAATTTCAACCTGCAAAAAAGACGAGTTACACTGGAATCAGAAAAAACATAAATTTAGTGTATACCAGATACACCAAATTTTGAAAGCATTAGAAGAATAACGTGGATCTCTTGAGTCAGTTTAAGGATGATAAAGATTGGAAGATCCATATACCATAGTGACTAATGACTTAAAAATCTTTTTTCCATAAGGCCTATTGAAAACACAATCTTTCAAGCTACACCGTTAACAGCATGCATCAACTACAATGATAGTACAGTAAGTGATTTCGCCATTAGGATTTCCAATGCAATGCTCTAATTCTGACAGGACCAGCCAGCTAGCACGAGGGAAAAAGATGAAATTTTAACAAGCTTCACAAGTAGCAGTATACACACAAATTATGTATATAGTCATATAATTTACAATCTAAAAACTTTAAATACAGTTCTTGAGTGATAAGGAGATCCAGGCAGGCAATCGCCTCCCAGGCTTTAAAATAAAAAGGTACCTAATATATGGTTTGTTTACTGAATTGTTCCCTTTTCTGGCGAACCATATCTTAACCGTTAGGTCATAAGTTTATGCAGTGTCCTTGACCTAAAAATAGGTTTTGCCTATTACATCCCACATTGCTTTACTGTGGGTGGGAACATTACAGTTTTGCTAATTTCTAGAGCCATATAATTCCAGAACCATTTTATTATCATGGAATCTTCATCATCCCAGGATCTAATGTGGGGTTTACACAATTTGATCTGTCACCCAGAAGATAGCTGAGCTTGCTTTTTCCTTTGAGGGTAGTCCAAATTAACTAAGGCCAACTCAGACAATTTTTTCCTATGAACCAGTAGGTAGCTTGAATTGGCTAAGCTAAAATTCATTGATGATATTTCCATGTTGGAGTGTAGTCCTGTGGATTAAAACTAACCTCTGACATATGTGAATCTAGGCAAGGAAGACAAGCTGGACGCAGCTAGGGCTAATGATGGCGGTTGGAACAGTTGTGTCACTGGAGAATGCCACTGTACAGGGAGGCCATTGGGAATGAGTAGAGGCTGAAAAGCGGCTGACCACCATGTTAGAGTGCGGTTTTGGTGCAAATAGTGGCATTGTGATGTACCGACAGAGAGAATAGATGCATACAGAAATAGTTCACAGAGGAGCAGCGCAGACAAATTTGTAACCCGTCAAAAGCAACATGCAGACTAGTGTGTGATGCGACCAAGGGATGTGCAGATGGTGGCGACTAGGATTGTGCGAACTGCACAACTGAGAACAACCACGCTGGCTGTGCACATCTGGCCAATTGCGCGACTAAGAGTGACCAGGGCCGGGTTGTGCACGTCTAGGCAAACTGGATCCAAAGATGAAGGCCAATCTTAGTGGAGATTGTCGACTACGTTCTCAGCTTGCAGTGGAGATGGTTGGTCTGTGGTGGTTGGCAACTAGGGTTGTGGTGGCCAACACTGAAGGCTAACCTCCTCTTAAGGTTTCTTAGGCTCCATGACTCTCATTTTAAATGACAGAATTACTTTCTCACTCCCTCTTCCCACAAGACAAAAGGATTCTACCTTTATGACTGCTCACAGTTATAAAAAATTTTTCCTGAAATAAAAATTATAAAGGTATCATCAAGAATAGGCACCAAAGGGATGTAACCCATTTACACAATTATTTACAATCTAGTAAGAATATCCACCATCTCTCTTAAATCTTCTCTATGATTGACCCAGAAACAAAAAACAATGGTCTGAAACTCTCTCTCTCAAATTTTACCAATACCCTCATTCACCTCTTCAAAAACCCTTCTGTTTCTTTTCTTCCACAAAACTCAGAAATGTTCAACAAACCCAAAGTTCATCCTTCACTATTCCAGCTTTGACCCAATTAATGTTCACCAAACCATAAGCCAAAGACCACAAACTGTGTGCAACAAAACACCAAATAAGTGATTACAAGTCTCCTCCGCCTTCTTGCACAAGCAACACTAATTCATTGGAATCTTTCCCCTCCTTTCTAGTTTGCCAATTGTCAATATGCATTCCCTACTTGCCTCCCACGCGAAAAAAGAAACTCTTAGAGGTGCATTCACCTTCCATATTTGTAGATAGGGGCCTACTTTTACATAAACTCTTTATTGGCAGATATCTGTAGAAAGAACTAACGGTGAATTACTTGAACTTATTGAGTGCCCTAATTGGTTGATCAGGATCCTCCGTTAACGAGATCAACTCCAACATACTTGGTAACTTTTCACATTCGTTAATCTCCCAGTCATCAATCCGTGTGACCTCCACATGTCCCTCTTTACTACTCTAACCCTCATAGGAAACCTAGCTCCACATGTCCATAGTCTTTAGAACAAGCTCTAGCATAAATCTGGAGGAAACTAGCTCGCGGTGCTCGTCCTTCCATCTAACTATTTCACCAGAAGTCAATTCTACTCCCATCTTTAACTTTCCATTTTATGCATTCCTAAAACCTGTTGGTACAAATCAATGGGGAGCAAGACACACTAAGTTACATGAGATCCCATTACTAAGATGAAATTCAAGCCCACATGGAAAACTATATGGGAGTTTGTGGTAACATGGGAGCTTACATGAAAGCTCACGGCCTCAAGAGGAAGCATATGGAAGCTCACGGCTCTATGAGCTCAAAAGGCCACAATTTAAGCCTCACAAAGCATGGAAGTACACCATGGTCCATTTAAGTGAAAGAAGAGATCCAATTCAAGCTAAGCAAATTCCATATGGAAACAAGCCTACATTGATGGATGGAGTATCACAAGAACATGAGCTAACAAACTTAAGAA